CCTAGATATAAGTTGCACTGTGGAAAAGAATATATACATTATTAAATTAAATACATTATGAAATTAAATTACTAGCCCTTATTTAGCACCCTTGATGTAATAAGGCCATATCTGCAAAATTACAACTTTTCGGGAGATATGTTTAAATGTACTAGTAACGAAATTAATCGGATAACTTTTTTATGCTTATATGTGAAAGTTATAAGTTTTCACACATATATAATTGTTTTACTTACTTCGTATTATTTTTAAGCCTTTCTTGTGACGAAAGTACTTTTCACGTATGAGCACATATGGCATGTTATACCAAGGGTACGATTTGCACTGTAACTATTACGTATCCAAAGGTTGCAAACTTGTTAGCAGTTAATGTGTTGATAGATTTCATTAGCTATAAACAAAGGTGTCTAAGTTGCTGCCAACTTTTCTACGTCCAGGAGAAATGTTAATTGTGACTATTTGTTGAATCGGCTTCCCAGCGGCGTCGTCGAGACATATAATTTATAGTTTAGGATGGAACTATCATGTATATTGTCCAAAAGTTCCACACGAGACGGTCAACGGTAATTTTTGTGGAGGATTTCCTTTTCCTTTGCCTATTGATTTACAAAATCAATAACACCTAGAAAATAAATAACAGAAAACATGTCTCATAATACAGGGTTTACCTAGTTTGAGCACCCGTCTTCCACAATAAAAAGGATACACTGTATTTTACGTACATGTATGTATAAGTTTCACTGTGAAAAAGAATAAATACATTATTAAATTAAATATATTATTAAATTAAATTACTAGGCCTTATTTAGCACCCTTGATATAATAAGGCCATATATGCAGAATTACAACTTTTCAGGAGAGATGTTTAATTATACTAATAACGAAATTAATCGGATAACTTTTTTATGCTTATATGTAAAAGTTATAAGCTTTCACACATATATGTATAATTGTTTTATTTACTTCGTATTATTTTTAAGCCTTTCATGTGACGAAAGTACTTTTCACGTATGAGCACATATGGCATGTTATACCAAGGGTACGATTTGTACTCTAACTATTACGTGTCTAAAGGTTGCAAACTTGTTAGCAGTTAATGTGTTGACAGATTTCATTAGCCATAAACAAAGGTGTCTAAGTCGCTGCCAACTTTTCTACGTCCAGGAGAAATGTTGGCAAGGTCCGTATTGTATGATTTCTACATTTGTTATATAATTTTGCATATTATTGAAAGACGTGACAAGCAAGTCTAAGAACCTAAAGTGAATTGTTATAGGTGTTAAATAAAACGTTTTTTTTTTCATTTTTACGTCCATGAATTTTGTTTATGATACTAAATGACGGGACGAACAAGTCGTGCGTCTGGTTGTAAGCAGGCATATAATTCCATAGCAGTTGCATTGTTACTCGAAGGTTTAATTTTAAAGATGTGAGGGGCACTGCCACTGCGCGCATCACCATAGGATGTAAGTTGACAAGTGCCATTTCACCAGCACCCTTTGAACGGTAAAAACAGGAACGCAGTAATGCTCACGTGACAAGTAAGGAGGCAATATTACCCTGGACGAACTCTTTCATAAGGAGCCTAATGCTACTAAAATTTAGATGAAGGTCTAAATTTTCCAATGTCTTTTTTGTAGCCTTTTTCCTGGGCGTTATTAGATAAAGTAGATTTTAACATAAACTAACCCGCAGATACACAGAACAAAACCTTTACGGAACCGTATATGAGAATGTGCATTGTACGTATTAATTAATTTGCTTCTCGAAGGGAAGTTTTGGTCCTTGCTTTTTTTACAAGTATGTTTAATTTGTTTTTATAAGTTTATATTTCGTTTTGAAACATAAAAACATGTGTCAAATCAGGACAAAAAGAGCACGATCTCCTTGAATGCCTAAAGTAATAAAAGTTGAAGTCAGCATGAATAAAAATATATTTCAAGAATGTACTTTAAATTGGTTTAAAAATTCAATCAAAAGTGCAGTTTTAAAACACCCAGGGTTAATTTACATAAAATGCAGCTCAATTGAGAAGTCGACGGTTCGAATTTCCGTGGCGGCCTACCTGCAGCGGCCTACAGCAAATTTGGTTTGCAATAAATTGATCGTCTCATTGGCTGTGTGACATGTGGCACCGTCTTGTTGAAACCACATGTCAGTGATATCCATGTCATCAATGCTAGGCCAAAATTGAGCTGTTAACATCTCGCGATAGCGTGATCCATTCACCGTTACCGCATTTCCAGGTTTCAACAAGACGGTGCCACATGTCACACAGCCAATGAGACGATCAATTTATTGCAAACCAAATTTGCTGATCGCGTAATTTCCCGAAATTCAGCTGTTAAATGGCCAGCCAGATCGTGTGATTTAACACCACTGGATTATTTTTTGTGGGGCTATCTTAAGGACAGAGTCTATACGGAGCCAATCGAATCGACTACAGCCTTAAAACTCAAAATCCGTGATGTGATAGCCGAAATAGACCCGACATTTTGCCAAAAAGTGATTTAAAATTTTGATGAAAGAATCGACTTCTGGCAGCATGGTCGTGGTGGACATTTGCCAGATATCATTTTTCATTCATAATTGCCGAACTTTTCTCTTTGTAATACAATAAAAATTTGAATCATCTTCATCTAAATTTTTTGTTTTATTTTGTTTTAGAAAACAAAGTTCTTGTTGAAAGACCCTATATAAAGCTACAAGTTTAGACTCACTTAATAAATAGAACGCTTACTTCCCGATATGGTAGAAAAAAGATATTTATACCGTTGTACGCGGCCATATCCATGTCCGCCATACAAATTTCAAAGCCTCCTATCACGGAAACTGTTAGAGATAGGTAGGAGGTGCTTGAAGAAATGTCATAGAGGTAACACTGGTCAACTGCCTGGGATAAAAAAATTTAAGATGGCGATTTCAAAATGGCGAACGTAGAAAAACTTGCTTCGATCCGGATTTAGGAGTCCTTAATCATAATTTGGGGCCAAAAATTTCTTTTCGCCATTTTTTAATATGGCTGCCATATAAGTGTTTTTTTCGTTAAAAATAGCTGCCGAAAGAGATTTGCTCTGATTCGACTGAAAATTGGCATGTGAAGACCACTAGAAATGCCGGATGATAATTTGTGCTCAACATTTGTTTTTCGCCATTTTCAAATATGGCCGTCATAGAAGCGTTCGTTGGCGGCAGAAAAAAAATTGCTGATCCCTTTGAAAATTGGCATATGGGGATCTCTAGGAGTGCTTGATAATAATTTGTGGTCAAAATTGGTTTATCGCCATTTTTCAATATGGCTGCCATAGAAGTGTTTTTAGCCGCAGATGAAAATTTGCTCTAATTCGATTGAAAATTCGCATGTAGATGGGGAGTCTATGGGTGTTTAACAATAATTTGCAGTCAAAATTTATTTTTGGCTATTTATGTATTCAGTATGTCTGCCATACAAACTTTTTGGCGGCACATGGAAATTTGCTCTATTTCAGCTGAAATTCTGCATGTGGGGACCTCTATGGGTGTTTAACAATGATTTGCAGTCAAAATTTACTTTTTGCCGTTTATCAATATGGCCGCACTTAAAGAGGTATGTTAATTTTTTAAAGTCATAAGAGTCGAGGCCGTAGGCCGAGGTGTAGCGGAGGGCGAAGCCCGAAGTATACTACGTATGTAGTATACGGGGACTAGATTTCACAATTGTTCAAAAAAGGTATACTTCCCGATGTAGTGGAAATAATATCTTTATACAACTTATAGCGTTGTTGTATCTCGACCGTCTCTCTGTTAGATTGTTTTTTATTGGAAGCTATGCCAAAAAGAGAAGTATTTAGGGAAAAAATGCCAGACAATCACTTCAACTCGTCTCGTCTCGTCTCGTCTCGTCTCGTCTCGGCTCATTGTATTAAATAGTATGTAATTCAATGGGTAACTGATAAACCGTGATCCTCGATATTACTTTCCAGATTGTTCCGGGACTTTATATTATGAGTGTTTAATTTTTATCAGAAAATTTAATGAATATAAAAGACAACTGTTAGCTTCTCTATTAAATAAGTGGTTGGACCATTTATTTAACTTTTGACAGCTCGAATTATAGTCAATTAGTGATGTCCTAATGCGTTTATGATTCGATTTTTTAAAACAGTCGATTTTATTCATGAAGGAGTTTTAATCGTGAATGTGAGCGGATTCAAAAATGAAAATTTGTCTGATTGGGATCGTGATGTTACGTTTGACGATTTGTGTACTTAATAAGTAATAATTAATGTTAACGAGGATTCAAGTGATGATTCTCGTTCATATGGAAAAGAATCCAACGATTCATTATAATAAGCAATAAGAATTTATTATAATATTTATAATTTCATTTCGTTATAATTTATTAGACAGGTACCAAAATTGATCAACTTGAATAATCTTCGTTACATGATTTGTTGACTCGATAAATATCGGAGCTAAAGAGCACGTCGCTTCACTAAAATTAAAAATAAAAAGAATAATTTTTTTTTTTCTATGGTTGTATGTCAATAATTACGGAACTTCGGAGGCATTACTTACTTTCTCAAACTCGTATCTTATAAAGAGTATTATTCAGGAGATGGCAAAACTTTCTATTTATTTTAAATTTCTTATCAAGGGTGTTAATGGTGTAAAAAAAGGGGTATAAGAGCATCTTGCCCAACATCTTGCCCCCCAAGCCAACCTACCCTGTACGTGGTGCACCCTGCTAGATAACGAACTAGACTCTGGCGACTGACTAAGACGCACTGGCCAGTGTGGTGTTTTATGGCTAAACCCCCTCTTTTAACATGAGACACGCTCAAAACAAACGGCCCTCAGATCCGGGCGGTCCCGTTATTCCGAGTTCTGGCAGCGGCTCTGGTTCCAGCGGGGCAGAGGGTGCGAAGAATCTCCAGCAGAGATCCAGCTGCAAAAACCTAATAACCTTGGCTACGTTTAATACACGGACTTTGTAAGATGACGATAGGCTAGTTGAATTAATGGAAGAATTAGAAACTATTAAGTGGGAAATTGTTGACTTGGCTGAAGTGAGACGGAAAGGTGAAGACCTTACCATACTATCTTGTGGTCATATGCTTTATCACAAAGGGCATGATGATTCGTCATGCGGAGGCGTTGGTTTTCTAATCCACAATAGACTTTATACCTCCGTCAAATGCGTTAAAATTAAGCTTAACGATCGATATGCCTTAAAGATAATCCAAGTGTACGCTCCGACCTCAGACCATGGCGATGATGAAATGGAAGTTTTCTGTGAGCACATTGAAAAAGCATACAAAGAAAGCCCATGCTGGGAGATTTTAATGCTAAAATTGGTCCACATAGATAATCGGAACACACAGTGGGACAATATGCTCGTGGACGGCGAAACCCTTGGGAACAGCTTTTAGTCAATTTTCTGGAAAAACATATCGTGTACGCAATGGACACCTTTTTTAAGAAACGTACTGTAGGGGGGCTGATGCTGTTAGTGGAGTTATGTTCATTGGATGGAATGTAGTAGTAGTAGCCTCCGCAGCCTCCGCAGTCTCCATACATCTTACTTAGTAAGTTTAGTAGTTCAAAAGTTGGAAGTAGGTATTTATTCAGGTTTAACAATAATATTATGATCTTTAAAATGTAAACTGTGTAAATATAACTAGTAAAAGGTCCAAAAAGATAGGAAGAGATTTGTTCGCTACCGCGATCGGGCAGGGAGTGACAATGGAACGAAACAAATTCAAAATGCGAGGCAAAATGGAACAATTCAAAATTTTTGTTTAAATACGAGTGTGAGAATAAAATAAGGAACTTAAATAAAAAGGTGGGATGACGATGCAAAGAGGTCACACCGTCACAGTACAACCAGAAAGTGGACCTGGGCCAGTCCTGATGGCCAGACCAGGAACGAAATAGACTATATTGTAACACCCCAGAAGAATAGCATTACAGATGCAAGTGGATTTAGTCGTTTTAAAACCAGTAGCGACCACCGCTTGGTGCGGACCACGTTCAGCTACGACACACACAAAGATCGATCCAAAATGGTTAGGAAACATCAACCGAAGTACGATAAAGTAGCTTTCGCTTTGTTGCAAAAAGATTATCGTCTTGAATTACAAAATCATTTTCAAGGACTTGAAGAGGTAGATTTGGACGTGGATTCGCTTAATAAGAAACTGAGTCACATAATAGTTGAAACGACAAAAACACATATAAAGGGTGTCAAACCAAGCAACAAAAAACTAAATCCCAGCTCCCAGGCTTTATTGGCTCAAAAAAGACATATGAGAATCAATACGGAATCAGATCAAAGAGAGTTAGAGAAGATAAACAAATTAATCCGGAAAAGTTTAAAAACAGATATTAGATCCCACAACATACAGAAACAGAATAATTACTGAAACCGTAAAAGAACATCAAGGACCAAAAGTATTCAAACGAAAATTAACAAGCAACAAATCAGAAATAAATAAATTAACCAACAAAACCGGAACGGTAATAACGGATCGGGATGAAATAGTTCGCGCTGTTGAGGATTTTTATACAAATCTTTATGCATCTAAAGTGAGTGAGCCGGAATCACTAGGGAGAGAAGATCCAAGGCAAGACCAATAGAACACTTCGATGACGAGTTGCTTCCCGAAATAACTGAAGAAGAAATTGGCTTTGCACTTAGCCGAATGAAACGAGGCAAAGCTCCTGGCGATGATGGAGTGTACGTAGAAATGCTTCAAGCAGGATGTTCAGCGATACTAAAACCACTTGCAAAACCATTCAACAAAGTTATCCAGGAAGGTGTTACTTCCAAAACGTGGAAAAACGCTTCGGTCACGATCCTGCACAAAAAAGGCGTTATCGTCTTTGGTCTTATGACCAAACTTCAAAACTATCGTCCGATAAGCCTCCTGTCACAAATTTATAAGTTGATTGCTAAGGTTCTATGCAATAGGCTAAAGAAGTCTCTGGACGAAAACCAAACACCTGAACAAGCAGGCTTCCGGAGTGGATACTCAACCATGGACCACATTCACGCAGTCAAACAACTGATGGAGAGATGCCGCGAATACGACCAACCCTTGTGTCTTGCCTTCGTCGATTATGAGAAGGCTTTCGACAGTGTCGAACACTGGGCCGTGTTTCATTCTGTCCATCGCTGTGGCATTGACAAGCGATACCTGGATATCCTCCGGGAGCTGTACAGGAACGCGACTATGCAAGTGCACATGCATGAACCCTCAGGCCGCATCCCGATCAAACGTGGTGTCAGACAAGGAAACACGATCTCTCCCAAACTCTTCACAAGTGTCCTGGACGACGTAATGAAGACACTCAATTTGGATGAGAGAGGTGTTAACGTCATTGGTCGCCGCATGTCGCATTTACGTTTCGCTGACGACCTGATCCTCATGGCTGGGAACTCCGCTGATCTCCAGACTATGCTCCAAGACCTGCACGAGGCTTCACTAGCTATCGGCCTTGAGATGAATAAGTTCAAAACCAAGATCGTGTCCAACCGTCCGGGCCCAAAACCCACCATCTTTGTTGGGAATATCCAGCTAGATGTAGTAGACGATTACATTTATCTTGGACACTGTTTGTCTTTCGGCCGATCTTCCCAAGACAAGGAGATCGCAAGAAGTATTCAGTTGGGATGGGCTACCTTTGGAAAACTGGAGGACGTCTTTGAATCTAAAATTCCTCAAAGCCTGAAAACTAAAGTTTATAACCAATGCGTCCTGCCCATACTTACTTACGGTGCCTAAACATGGTCGCTCACAAAGGAATATATGCACAAAATCAGATTAGCACAACGGGCAATGGAGCGCACCATGCTCGGCATTTCCCTCATCGACCGCATACCCAACGTGGAGATACGACAGCGAACAAAGGCCGTAGACGTTAGTATGCAGAGCGCGAGCCTGAAATGGAGGTGGGCAGGACACGTTGCTAGGCGGGACGACGACCAAGGCGGTTACTGAGTGGTACCCAGTAGGAGCGAGACGTCCTCGAGGCAGACCACCTGCTAAATGCTCGGACGATTTCGTCGAGGTGGTCGGAAGATTGTGGATGAGATTCGCACAGGACCGATTGAGCTGGTGTACAAAAGAGGAGGCCTATACCCAGCAGTGGACTGAGATGACGTGTTAATTTTCGATGTATTACTTTAAGAATAGGTAAAGGCCAGTGTGTAAATATGAAGGTAATGTGATTTGAAATCTGCCTGCAAAATTTGTAAATACAATAAATTTTTGCATTTCAGTAACTTGATGATGATTTAAGATACGTGTTTGAGAAAACAAAGGCGACGATATGTCAAAAGTTTAATAAATGGTTGGACAGAGAATAGTACTTTTTACACCTTGACAGAATTATTTGACAATAATTATTGATATATTATTCATTAGTTTATATCTTTTGTAATTTTACTGTATTTGTATTTGTATTGTATTTGGCAATTTCGTTAATTATAATAAAAAGTTTTGCATTTTAATTGATTGATTGTATTGATAGTAAACAATAACATATATTTTTGCATGCCGACTGTGGTAGAATAAGCTAGTTTTATTTATAATAAGATCACAACATACCTTATTCTGACAAATAAATAAATTGATGGATCAATCAATCAGATTGATTGAGATTTTCTAGTGAATGTATTTCAATTCGATTACTTAATATTCAAATAATTCGGTTGAATAATGTAAACTTATAAACATCGCAAGCGACGTATCCGTAACGTAATCTTATATATTATTAGTCAATACGACTCTATAAACGCATAAATTTGCGTACAATTCAGCTGCGTTTTTCACTACATTTATGTAGGAAACGATGCCTCGAGTACTAAGAATTGTGCATATTATATCTTAAGTTTTCATAACACATGGGAAATTAAACGATTTCTTCGTTTCTTAAACAAACCAACATGTCGAGCCCTTTAGAGGTCTCATGGTCACGACAGACTGAGATGGTAAAGTCATCGATCAATTATATCATACATAGGGCGCACTATACGTACCCGGTACTGGCCACTTACATAAACAATATTTAAAAAGTAATTACAACAATTGAAAATGGAACTCTTTGGCTGTAGAATACAGTTTGTTTCATCTGATTATCACTTGTTTTTACATTGTGGCGTCATCATGGATTTAAGTCGGGAAAATTTTCGTAGTATGATTGTCTATGACTTTAAGTGTAATTTAACAGCTCCTCGGAGCTTCGCTCGGCTTCAAACTGCTTTTGGCAATGAAGCACCATGCAGGATGACTATTTTATAGCTGGTTTGCAGAATTCAAACGCGGTCGTGTGAATCTCAGTGACGAATTTCGTGATGGTCGCCTGTCCACTGCTGTGAACAACAAAAACATCGATGCTGTGCGCCGTATAATCAAAACAGACAGACATGTGACATACCTTGAGATTCGGGCATCTTTTGGCATAGGCATGAGTCAAATACAATCAATACTATACAAACATTTGGGTGTGAAAAGGCTGTGTTCTCGGTGGATCCCACACAATTTGACTGAGGCTCAAAAAACGGATCGCATCACTTGGTGCAATGCCATGCTTACCAGATTCAAAGAAGGGGCGTCGAATTTGGTGTGGGACATATGAACAGGTAATGAAACATGGATTTACAGTTACAATCCCAAAACAAAGCAGCAACCGAGCGTATGGGTCTTTCGAGATGAGCCGAAACCAACCAAAGTGGCGCGCGTGCAAAGTGCTTCTTTTTAAAATAAAACTGGACACGTGATTACTGTTGCTTTGGAGAATCGTTGTACCGTTAATAGTGATTGGTACACGACCATTTGTTTACCGGAAGTTATTGACAAACTCCGTAAAAATAACCATAAACGCTGTATCATTTTGCACCATAATAATGCCAGTTCTCACACGGCCAGAGAGACAAATGAATTTTTGAAGGTGAACAACGTTGACCTTATGAGCCATCCCGCGTACAGTCCCGACCTGGGACCTTGTGACTTTTATTTACTTCCAAAAATGAAGAACCAGTTACGCGGTCAACGATTTTCATCACCTGAAGAGGCTATATATATTGTATACTCACTGCTCCGCACGAGAGAAATAAATGTAGGCCATACAAATTTTTAACCGCCAGGGAATCGAGTTCGGGACCTCTACGTGCCAGCCAGTCCGGCATGGCAATAGTTCGGCTACGCAGGCAGTTTAAAATGTTAATGGGAATCACACTATAGTCAGGAAAGAAAATTATTAAATACTTTACTTTTAATTTTACAAAGAACATTCCTTTCACGCTACATAAATAAAATATGTTGTAAAACATTGTTGCATTAATTGGAAAAAAATAAAAATAATGTATTTAATTAACAACTTTTATAACTATAGTGAAAAATGTGGTGGCTAAAAAAACCCGTAAAAG